ACAGCGGCACAGATCCAAATCGGCGCACAGCAGCTCAAGCAATTAATTGCTGTCATTATAGTGAATGTCACGGTGTTTTTAATAGGTTTTCGAAACGAAAATTAAAGCAAGTCATCAAAATGGACGCAATTATCTAATAATGAAATGAAAATCAGAGAAAAACGCGCGCAAACACAACATTGCAGGTAACAACATGATTAAAGAAAAGCACCGTTACACACTTTGTTGCTGGTTATTATGTGGTTTTTTTTTTGTATTTTTCTCTCTCTTTGCTATAATCACCATTGTTTGAATTTGTATTTGTGCAATCTTGTCATTCACACGCTAGCGACAGCTATGGCGCGCTTGCGCAGCGCTCAAGCTTGTTGGTGCATCGTCTATTAATTATGTACAATATATATGTAGGTACTACATATCACTGCGCTTACATCTCGTGCTTTTTTGACGTAATAATAGCTAGTTGAATTTCTTAATTTATTAAACACTGCGCACTTGCCATTGAACCAGAGCTGAACAGTCTTAAATTGAGTGAGTTAAGTGCGTTCGTACCAAACAAATAAAAAATTAAGAAAAAAAATACAAGCAACACGCTCGCTTTCTATGGCCATCAACAGCGTCTCGATGTTAATGTTAAATTACAGTTAAGGCGAATGCGCTATTGGCCATCGAGTGTTTTGTCGCTGTCGCTGTCGCATTGCTTTACCTTCTATTTATTTTTTGTCCATATTATTGGGTCACTGGCAATACTCGATGATGTTTTTTTTTTATGTTAAGGTCACTTCGCTGAAGCACAAACATGCTGCTGAGCAAATTACTCACAATAAGTAGTACATTCCCGGCCATAGTTGGCCTTAATCCATTTAAGCATTTAAGTGCACTTAAATATGTCAATGTGCATTAAATGTTGAATTGGTTGGCTTGTGTAAATATATACAAATATTTATTTATCACCAAATTTATGAGACATGTATGAGAGACAATTCAGCATAAGTCCTTAATTTAATGGACATTTCCAAGTCATAATTATTTTCAAACATAACTGAATTACCATGAAGACTATTAAGCAAATTTTGCGAATGTCAAAAAAGTTATTAGTTTTAATTAAAAATTCAAAAAAAAAGCGTAACAAATTAGCGGTTACAACTTCTAAGTCCCAATTTATACTAACGAACTTTGAAATTGCTGGCTTTAAGTTAAAAGTAAAATTATCAACATAAAAGCTTTATTAATCGACTTAAAAAACACCAGCAAATAATTGTATACATATAGATCATTATGGACATTTATGTATGGATCACCTACCTTGTAAAAGCAACGATCGACTATGTGGCCGTCAAATTCAGAAAATATCATAATTATTAACGGTGAATATGTTTTTTTTTTCCTTTTAAGAAATACATCCGTTAGCACTTCTTTTAAAATCCGTGGCGTATCGCTTAAGAAAAAATTTAATTAACTCTAGCCAAGTTTGGGGTAAAACCCCAAAAAAAAAATCGCGAAAAGACTTGAATGAATCCAGAAATGTCCCTCAAAAATCTCAAATTTCTCAAAAGTCCTGAAAAGTAAAACTCACCGGATTCCGATAAGCCCTGAAGGAATCCAGAAAAATCACATGCGAACTCAAAAGTTCTCAAAAGATATCGAAAAGTCTCGACAAAGTCCCGATAACATCCTAAAATGTGTCAAATAATAAAACACGAATAATCAAGAAATTCATTTTTTATATATATTCAAAACCTCATAATTACCTTACCCTTGGACCTAATCCCTGACTGACAGGAAAGTTATATATATATAAGTTCACTTATACCAAAATCTGTTTCTTTTAAACTTCTTAAACCTGGAAGCTAGTCGGTGCCGCGACGTGGATATCAAACGTTCGCATCGCCTGCTCGACGACTGCAGTGTCTTTGAATTATTCGGGAAAGTTTCGCATCATGAACATAGTAAATCGAAGAAAACGAAATAGATGATCAGCGAGATGGATAAGTCCTTGCAACAACCGGTTTGTGATTTACTGAAGGAAATTTTGCAAGTAAATCAAACCCGTAACAAATTACCTATTGATTAACCGAGACGGCTGTGAAGTTTCAAAGTCTTTGGCCGAGGTTCAAAAAGAAAATAACTCAAGCACTTGGGAATTCGCCTTTTTAACCAGCTTGGCAGTGATAACGGAAGTGAGACTATCGGACCTCAAGTAGTGGGATGTGCCTCCTGCTGGAAAGTATGAAAGCTTCACACATGCCTTTGTAAAACCTAACCTAAACCGGGAAGCGTTCAACGGTGTCTCTGCGTAGAGCTATAGGAATATTCTGAATTACAGACCCCTCGTTTTTCTAAAGTACTGTTGGGAAGTCTTATATTTAATCAAAGTAAAATTGGCATAAAGTCCTTAAATGTTTACTGTAGAAGAGGGATTACTTTTTCTATTTAAGTAGCCTATGTAATTGTATAAATACAAGCATTGTACTTATAATCAGTGCAAATACTTAAATTAAGAATTTCTCGCATGCATGACAAGACAAGACTCAATTATTTCCATAGCGGAATTTGGCATAGGTATGTACATACATACATTAGGGTGCATCACTCTCCATAAAAAAAAAAATCGGTACTGTTTTCCCATCGGTAACATAAAATTTATTATACCTTAAGACTTCTGACAAAATATTTCGGAAAAATATTAAGATTTACGTAAACAACTATTCGAAAATAGCACCAAAAATCGAGTTTTTTATAAAAAAAAAAAAATAGTTAAAAATATCTGTTTTCTAAAGAATCACTTCAGATGGTAGAAGAGTTTGAGCATAAAAGGTCTGCATAAAAATGTTAAAAAATTTTATAAAGAAATCAAAATAATAAGATTTTGGCGGTTTGTGTTCTCAAATCGTTCTAGCTCACGTAAGTTTTAATATTTTTCTGAAATATTTTGGCAGAAGTCTTAAAATAAATTACTTTTTATAATTGCCGCAATTTTATTTTTTATTTTTGGTGATGCAACCTAATGTACATAGGTATATACAAATGCTATAAATGAGTATAAATTTGCATAAGTATGTATGTGTATACGTGCAAACATAAATGCATATTTAGTTATGCATGTAAGGAACTGGCTACTAAATGGAGCATAGAAAATTATTCCACATACTCGTACAAAAGAACATTTCGGTGCCAGAAGTTCATTGACTGTGCCGAGATTAAATGCTTCTCAATCAGATAAAGGCACTTCAAAAAATGTTTTAGCTTCACATAAAAATTTAAATTTTTAATTCATAGCTACTTCTCCTACCTGTTCGTAAAGGAATTTGGGTACTTTTGTTAACAGATAATCATACATCTGTGCATAAATACATACAGTGGTCGAAAAAAATATAACCGCACCACATATTGACAAGTGTAAAAATACGTTTTTTTTTGTTATTTTTATATAAATCCAGGAAGTCTACTCTGTATTGCGATTAGAAACTCAATGCCATTCGAAAAGCGCCAATATTTGTGCAATATTGAAAAAAAATCAAAAAAGTTTCTTAGAAAGATTTTTAGTATGCAGTTTTGTAGCCCAATGACTTCCAAAGGAATAAAGTGCAAGTTTCAAAGAGCTAAAAAATATTTTTAATTTTTTAGATTTTTTTTGTCCCATTTACTTCCATATAACGAATAAACACAATTTATTTTTATATGGAAGAAAACCGTAAAAACGTCGATAAAAAAAATTAAAAAAAATCAACGGTAATATTTAGCCATTTGAAACTGCATACGCAAAATCTTTCCAAGAAATCTAATTAAAAAGCTCGAAATTTTTACGAAAGTTTGTTGATTTTTTTTTTAATATTACACAAAGTTTGGAACTTGGATTTACACGGATTTTCTTAAAGAATGAACTATATTTTTATAAAATTTAATTGCAAAAGAAAAATACATAAGATGTTAAAACTTGTCAATATGTGGTGCGGTTATAATTTTTTCGACCACTGTATGTAGATATGTAAAAAGACATGCGAGTGCTTTATTTAGACGTGCGTAAAAATTTAATTTTTTACTGCAGTGAATTGCCCGCATACAATCCTGGTACAATTAACATAAACACAAAGTAACTGACTCAGCAAGTAAAAAACAGTAAAAGGGGCTAAATATAAGTCAAGCATAGATACATATAAACATATGTATGTACAAATATAAAACAAATTACAAAGCAATGGCAAACGGCAAGCGGAAGGCATTTATGTGAAGTGGCAAAAGTAAAAGCTTTGAGTCTTGAAGACTGCCTATTTATTAAGCAAAAGTGAATTGTCTTACTAATGTGTTCTATTGTTACTAGTAACGTATTATTGTTGCTGTGTTTAATGTTTTTTTTTGTTTTTTTTTTAATTTTTTGTTGCCACTCAAGTGTTAGTTATTCTTAGTGTTGTTGTGCAGATTGCAGCGGATATTTCAAAGCAAAACAATCGTTGTACGAAAATGCAGGTTTTGGTTTTGCTCTAAATACTGCGGTAACATTCAACGTGTCTGATGTCTCCACACGCACGCAACAACAACAATAACTCTAATATGGAAGCGGCAAGCCACATCAAAAGCGCACCACAACAATAGTGGCAAAAGCGCCCAACAACCGTCATTCGTCACCAACAGCTGATAAGCTTAAGCCTCATGCTGCCACTGTTGGTATTTTGTTGCTTTGGTGATTCTTGGCGTTGATGTTGGTGTCGATAACGACACCAATGACTATTATGAAGTTTCAACGTCATCATTATGATGATGTAATATTTCAATAGCACCGACCACAATTCTATTCTTCTTTTTCTGCTTTGATTTACTTTGTTAATAATTATAAATATACATACATACATAGATAGGCGTAACGAAATCTTGTTTTTTTTTTTTATAGCACGTACTTAGTAGATATATATTTTTGCTTTATAATAGTATGTATGTATGTATGTGCATATGCTTTATGTGTACTCATATTTATTTAATTTTTTTATATTTCTATTTGTTGTTAGACTTACGTGAAGGCAGTCAATAGCGGCGTTGAGAATCTACAAGAAGTTTTACTAGCAGCGGAAAATCATAAGCAACTTGTGCCATTGGGTCCACGCATTATCGCCAATACGACCAAGTCGTTTAAAACTATCGATTCGGAAGATATTGAGAAGCGTTGCCTACTGCAAGCTGATGGTAAACTTGTTACAGAGAGCAAAAAAACAACTGAGCACGAAGTAATTGTAGACCGTGAGCTGCCCGAAGAAGACGATCATTCAACGGGAAGTCGTGAGAAAATCGAAACTGTGGTAAGTCAATCGGGGAAAAAATTAGGCGTTTTATTTTTTGGGAGGTGGCTGCTAATGAAGTAGTAGAAAAAATAGTAAAGAAATTCCACGTGAACAAGAAAAAATGCTAATTACAAGTAGCTGGTTGTTAATTAGGAAATCTCTGAAAAGTTAAACGGTAAAAAATTAGGTGTCAGTAATAAATATATAGAAATCCAGAAAAAAATAATATGTACAAGAAATTTCCTGCACTTAAGAATACACGTAAGACAAGTACAAGGCAAAATGAATTTGGACAACAAAGTAAACAAATTTGGCGATTAGTGTCTTTCTGATTACGAATATACCGATTGTTTTTTCCATTTTTTTGTTAAAAAGAATTGAAAAATTTAATTATTACAAGCTTTTATTATGTTTCATCTATGCGTAATCAAATCTTTCAATCAATTTTTAATCAACTTCTCGATGAGCTAGAGACTTGAAACTTTTAACCCTGACAATGCAATGTGAAAAATGAATTATTCCACTAAGTGGCGCGGTTGTTGATATATTTGAAAACCCCTAGTTTACGGTCCGATTGAGAATCTATATTACTTACGTCAAAGCGAATAAATCCACAAAAAAAATTTACCCGATAGGTGGCGCAGGAATCGAGATATTTGGAAAACTCTTATTTATGGTCCGATTTGTTTCACATTTAGAATGGATATTACTTAAATGGAAAGAAATAACACCACAGAAAATTTAGTCGTTAGGTGATGCGGGGGTCGATTTAAAATAAAAACATATTACACCCTGCTTCACATTTCTTTTCTTCCAGAATTAAATTCACATCTTCACGTGTCATTATAGAAAAAACCCTCTTTAGTTAGATTTTGAAGAAGAAGGTCGATCGTTAAAGAAAGTGGTGAAAAGATAATAGCCCTTTGATATTTTCTCATCACTTGAATAGGTATACAATGAAACCTCGAAGTAACGAATACTGGTAAAAGGAAGGAAATTTCTGCTGAGTCCACTGAAAAAAACTCGTTGCGAAAATTTCTGTACAGAAATGGTCGAAAGATATGTATAACGAAGAAATTTTGAGCATGAAAACCTTCGAAGTATATTGTCTCTGTAAAAGCCTCTATATAACGAAGTGTCGACCATCCGCAGATGGATAGCCAAACTGCTTCAAACAAGAATTGCTCAAAGCGAAATTGGGGCTGTGTGCTACAGTTCCCCAATTAAAAGGATGCTCATGATAGTAGACAAACTTCTACAAATCCTCGCTAGTAATAAAGATGAAAGTTCGACAGCATCATCTGCGATATATTGCAAATAGGTTTAAGCTTTACGAAGAGTTGATGCGCCAGTTTGGAGCTTAATATCAATTCCTCCGCTACGAGTCGTAGTCTACGACCATCACACAGTGATGCCAAACTAGAGTTCACTGTTCAAAATAGTCCAGAGCTCTCATTTTTCAACCGATTTGATAATGTTTTTATTCTAGAGAGCTGACAAGATTTAAGAGAAATTTGTGCAGCTCCATTTTTGAATTTTTATTTGTTTATGTTAAATTTTTAGTGCTGAATTCAGAGAAACAATACAAATTTTGAAGAAAATCGATTACCCTGTTCCTGTTAAAAAATGTTACATAAAAATTAATTGAAAATATTATAGGGTTTCCCTAAGAGGAAAAACTGCACGAGAAAAATTGGAAATTTTATAAAAAATATTTCATGAAAAATATATATATTTTTTTTTAATTTTAGCAAACTTTCCAAATGTCCTCCAAGTTTCAGTAAAACGAAATTATTAAAAATCAACGCGATTTCTTAACCACTTGAAACTTGCACTTAAATTTAATACTCTATAAAACTGCATACTTAAACTACATATTAACCCTTATCATAAACATAAAAAAAAAATAATAATTTTGGCCAAATTCTTTTCTAAATATTTAAAATTGTTCTTTAAATCGGCTGAAAAATAAAGGCCTTATTTTGGCACCACTGTGCATAGTACCCTTCACTAAGAAAAGGAACCTACCAAGTATAATGAATATAATCCTGAATGAGGTCGTAGTTACATTTTGCGCATTTCATTGACTCTACGCTTCAGTGGAGATCTCATGTTGACGCGACCAGATCAAAAGCTACGTTTAGCAGGCAAATCTTGAGGATGCAGTCCAAAGATCCTAAGATTGATGTGCAGCATGGTAGACCAATGGGTTTCAAGAACTGCTTAGCCATGGTGAGACTGTCTGGGACGACAACGTCGTATGTTTGTGAAATGCCGGAAATATTAAAAAACGAGTATAAAGAACGGCCGATTTATTATTAATTTTTTTTTGTACATTAGGGTGGTCCAAAAAAAATTAAAGTCGGAATTTTATTTCCGACATCCCCTGGGATTGTTCCATACCGAAAAAAATACTATTTTTTATTTTGAAATCAAAAAATATTTAGAGAGTGCTCAAAACGCTCAAAGTTTTCCAGGTATTTTATATGGGAAAAAACAACTTCTCGTAGAAATGGTAGAGACTTCTTGAAAATCAATATTTTTCGATCGAAAAACTCTTCTTTCAGGAGTTTCCCAATAATTGTGTGGCACAATAGCTGTAAAAACAAGAATATATCAGGAAATTTGAATGGACAACCTTTTAACTGTTTTCTTTTACAAATTTATCTTCCTTCCGACGATAAAAGTGTCAATAAACGAAATGTCCATGAATTATTTAAAAGAGCAGAGTGTTCTAAACTCTGCCGAACAGAGGTTCTCCATACATTTGAAATAAGGATCCATGAGGACGTATACAGATAGATACATACATACATACAAGTGAAGTTAAATAAAAGCTTGTAATAAAAATCGCCGTAATTATTTTTTGTGCGTGACTCAATCCTTGATTTTGTTTACAGACTTTATCTGAAATGAATTGATACTGCATTTTTTATTATAAATGATACTTCTGGTACCTCTAACTGGAACCTTAGACATAATTTGTTTGGAACAAAGTTCCTCCAAGTCCCAATCTATGTATTTAGTATTTCCGAGAAGGCTTTCCCACCCGGGAAAGTAGCAAATATTTTATGTAGTTCCAATATTCACAATTTTTCGAAAGCACGACGGATGTTTAATGAGATAATATACATATTTCTATTCAGAAAGGGACATAATGATGCGGTTAGGTATTCCATGCGGTGTATCTTTTGTACCGAATTCGCGTACATTGTTTATTGGCAGACTTATTCCAAGATTGCTGATTCTACAAAAACAAACCCACGCCGTTAAAAACCTTCCTCCATTTTAATTCTTTCATACATTTTATTAAGCACTCATTTGGTTTGCATTATCTTAAAAATATTATTTTTCAATAATTCTAGGAAGCTACACAGCGCCTCTACAAGCAACGTGACGAGCAATACGTCGATAAGGTTGTTGATGGCAAAGTGGTTAATACCGAAATGAGATACGCTGCCGAGACAATGCAAATCGAAAAGGATGGCTCATTGGAACGACCCGGCGATTGGGATAGCTTATCGGATCGTATGCGAAAATTGCGACGTCCGCATCAGAAGAGTGCATTGCAGCCGCATAAGGGTAAGATAGAAGTCTACATTGATTTAGTAAGTGCAAAACAAACGACTTTTGATCTTTTAAGAGCCAAGGGAACTCCATTCTCACATGGTGTTACTCAAGATTCTCACTTATTTCAAAAGCTCCCTAAACAAAGCCTAACGATTATCTGATGACCAATGTTTTAAAGTAGATTTTTTAGCCTCTTTTAAATGAATTGAAAGAACGTTTTCAAAAATGACTTTACTGTAATAATCCTAGAAACTTTGGACCTGGCAGGATATATCTTCGAAAGAAATAGGTCAAGTTCCGAACTGCAATTTGAAAGTTTAGCTTTGCCATCTCCTCAATCTGAGCACGTCGAACCTTATCTGCTTTGATTTGAGAAAATATTACTTATTAAATGTTGATTAGCTATCCTTTTCTGCTTAAACTATATTCAAATATTTGTTTCTTTGAAGAAGCCACCCTACTGGCCGACCGCAAAGATGCATTGACTAAACGACCGCTGGACTTTGATCGTGAGGAGGAAACACGTAAGGGTGAAACGATTAAGTGGTTAGAATCACATTTCGGTAGTGAATCGACTGCCTCAAATGATTCACGAGAAGATGACGCAGTTGGCGGTGTTGTTGGTGGCGGCAGCGGCGACATAGAACCAACCAAGAAAACGTTCTTCAATGTTACAATTAAATCAAATCAAACACAGGCACCGGCACCGACACCGCTGACCAACGGCCAAAGAGCGACCGCGAACAACACCTTTGAACGCAAGCAGCCGAAAGACCATATTTTGGAGGCACATCCAAGTGGACCAGCCGGTCGTTCCAAGTACTATCAGGGCATTTCGAATTGGACCGAACGCAAAGAGCCGCCTGTTAATCACTTTGCCACAAAAGCATTTCGCGAGGATCTGCAAGAGACTGTCGAACGCAATCGTTTGCGGCGTAGTGAGGTCCATAATGGACGAGATAAACAGCAGGAGAATCATTATTTGGTGGAGTCTAGTGACAACTATGTAAGCCGCGAAGATATTCTGCATCAGAAGCAGCGACAAAGTTTATCATCACAGTTTCTGGCAAAGACTATTCGTAATTCGCGTGACAGACTCGATGAGTTGGACGTGCCGGCGTTGGGTACTGCAAAGACGAGTCGAGAAATGGGTGTACGTCATGTGAGCGGTTCACGTGGTGACCTTAGATACAGTGGACTGAATGTTGGAGGCGACTTGGAACACAACAAACGAACTTACGTGCCTACTAAGCAACAAAGTCAGGAGCGCGATGTAGAAATGCGACACTCCTCAGGGGTCGCACCTAGTCCAGTAAAAAAGTACGAGCTAGGCGAGTTACGTAGCCGTAGCTATGAACGCACATTGGACGATACAACACGCGTAGGCTATGAGTTACACAACTCGAATTCACTCAAACCCATGCTTGCGGAGCCACGTGCAATTTCGCCCGATCGCGAGCAATTTCAAACCAGCACATTAGGTCGACCTACGGTGCCACAACGTCGACGCGCTATCGAGAAAAAGCTACGGCAGCAACATAGCGCCTCACCGCCACCGCCACACAAAGTGCCATTAGAGCGTCAACATGCGCATAGCCAACGAAATCTGTTGGAACCGCCGCCTGATTACTCACCACCGCCGCGCAGTCGCTCCTCATCGCCGCAGGTGGAATATGTGAATGGTGTGCGTAATCATCGCAACTATCGTAACAACGTCGCTGATAGTACAACCATCAGCTATGGACCACCCAATCAGGCGTATGTGCAGAGCAGCACGCTGACACGAAAGCAAAATCAACGCACACGATTCGCGCCAACAACGCCACACGAGCATCCACACTCGCAAGCCTTTTTGCGTCCTGTCATGGCGACACAAACAACGCAAACAACAGCCTCCACTATTTCCAACTCGACCGTCGCCTCACACAAGTCAAGCAGAATGGGTCAAGTGATAGGAAATTCGTTGCGCAAGCTCGTCAATAAGATACGGTCGGCAAGCGCAGAACGTAAAATGCGCATGAAGTCGCGCAGTAAGTCCCGTGAACAGTCGCCATCACCACAAGCCATCGATAAGATGGGCGGCCAACAAACCACCTATCAGCAATATAATCTCATAGACAGTCATATTGGCGGTCAGGGAGGCAGTAATGAGTCCGAGTTGGAGAGCATGCCAAACGAAACGACACAGACGCATAAAAGCTATGGGCATGCGACGCCTTTGGAGCGCAATGGGCAACCGCCAACACAACTTAAGCGTGCCAATTCAGCAGATCCTTACGCTAACGAGCGAGAGACGGGCGAACGTGGACCGAGTCCTAGGCAGCGTTACTACTTGGGTGAAGATCCATACTCGAGCACTTTGTATGGCAAGGAAAATATGTACGGGCCAGGGTCTGTGGGGAAACGTAAAACTTTAGCTGGACGAGAGAGTGCAGATCCAGGATATGTGGGCAGGCTTGAGCGGACAAATCGCGAGGCAAGTGCGGCGACGAACCGGCGTGATGAAGGGGACTACTACAAGCAGAGGTGAGTTAAATATTCTTTCCATTTTGTTTTTTTCTTTCTTAAATATAGCACTGCAGCGGCTTAGATTCCTCCGATTTTTAGTCCCCATTTGAACCGCAGTCCTGCAAAAGCTGGGCAGTTTAAGAGGAAGTGTTGAATCTCCCTTGTAGTAGCAGCTACCCATTAGCTTAGTCTTACTTGCCACGGAATCGAATCATTACTGGACTGACTCGCCACTTCGATTCTCTGCTCTCATTTTGCTACCATTTTGCATCCAATTTTTTTATAACTTGATTTTTTCCTCTTTTCTAGAAACGTTACGACCAGCACCTTGGGCCGATATCAACGCACAGGTCAAAACTTCGCTGCTTCAACGCCCAATTTAAATCAGGACTATCGCACTACGCAAACATTGCCACGCAAATTGCAGGATCATCATCAGCAGCAACCGCACCAACAGCCACATACTCAGCCCTCGCATGCCGCGCAATCGTCTGGCTATCACAGATCTGGGCAACGTCTGGTATCAAGCGGCTATAGCACTCTGGGACATCCTGAGCAACGAGCACAATACCAACAACAACAACACCAGCAGCAGCAGCAGCAACAGCAACAAGAACAGCAGCAAAGAATGCAACAACAACACACAACCACTGTAACGGCCGTTGGTCCAGCAAAACCTGCACGCACCTACGCCAAAGCGCTCAATCGCAGCAAAAGCTTCAACGTCCATGCCATGAATGGCAGTCACGACCCCAGTCCCATTTACATTGAAAAGCTAACAAAAAATAATTACACCAACAACTACAACAGTCACAATACAAGTAACCTGTACGCCAGTCAAGCCTACAAATCGAACCCGCACCTCTACAGCGGTCCGTCAAAGGAAAATTCGTTGCAGAGTGGACTGAAAAGCCCCTCAATTGTGAATTTAATTAGCCGCAGTCAAAAGGATTTAACTAAAATTGATAGCTTAGAGGGAGAGCATGTCGATACGTTGGATAAGAAGCAAGCATTTATGCGCGGATTGCATCAACAAGCGCCAGATTTGTATAAGACGTTGCATGGCGATGAAAGTTACCGTCACAGCAGCACGCCCAACAAATACCACCAGCTGCGCCACTCCACATCGCTGGAGCCACGTTCGCCCATTGAGATTAACAAGGATACGGCGAGCATAGTGCGTAGAGACAGCTCGAGTAATGACGGGTATGTGCTGAATACGTATAGCAATAAAACAACAATGGAGAGTGCAACTGCCAATAGACGAATACTCTATAAGGATGAGCAAAGGCGTCGTACACCAGGTGGTGCCACAATAATATCCGTACGTAATGTGGAAGGTGATAAATAATTGAATGATCAAAGGGGATAGTGGAAATGAGAAAATTGCAAAGTCAGCTAGACAATACTTACAAAATGTAAATACAAACATACATATTAGGCGATAGGATAATGCAAAAGAAGAACTCCAGCGCACTAGTTAGATGAAAAATCGCGTATCCAAAAAGGCTTAACTTTCATTTGACGGGACGCAAATAAAAATTGGAAGCCTATAAATATATGTAACTCTGCACCAGAAGGAGGGGGACTATGCACCAACTCTTGCACCCAACAATAGCAATAAAGAGCACAAATCGTTACTCATATAGTTGATAAGCACTATAAGGCCAACCGACAGCACTCTATTTGTATATTGTTTGTGGCAGTTAGCCGCTTCTATGGCGCTCCATTTGAAGTGTATTTCAGAGTTTGATAATAGCTTTAGTATTAAGTAGAAATTAGCGTTAAATTTACAGAATGCTATGAATTTGATGAGGAAATCAAGAAGCAGACAGAAAATGTTCTATAGCTGTGGACTTTTGCCAAAACCACTTATTTGGTTTGCGAAGGTTCGCTTTTTGTTGGAAAACTTTGTGAGTTTCTATACAAAAATTTTATAAATTTTATTTCAGGGGCCGTATTATGATGTTTATCATAGGAATCCATAATTCAACCGTTAAAATTGGATATCTGTGTTACCTATCAAATTTAACCGTTATTTTATTTTTTCGATTTAAAACGATTATTTTTGTATTGAAAAAAAATACGATTCAACGATTATATTTGACCGAAAAAATATGTATCGAAATTTAACGATTATTCTCAATCGTTAAAATAAAAATTAAAAAACGATTTTGAAATGATCTTACAAATGTCATGGTATTTAACGGTTATTTTCAGTCCCTGTTTTATTCAGCTTTTATACAAAAAAATGCATCTTCTTCCACACCTGTGATTACTTCAGAGTGAAAACTGTGCTTGGGATCCCAACGATTTAAAACGAATATAAGCAAAAATGCGCGAGCACTTAAGTAGTTTTGTCAAATTCCCACAGATATACATATACATATTATCCGACGTAAATGTTAAATATTAATTATGTTTAAATTGGAAAAAAATTTAGTTATCTCAAATGTACGTTTATTAAATTAAGCCAAAAAAAAAATCCTGCAACGCGACCGTAAGCTGACACAAAATTGAGAATTTGGTACAGTAATGATATTCCATAAATCTCTCCCCTACTTAAAAAACTAATTTGTTCTCCTTTGAGGCCAATACAATTTTCTAGGATCAATCAAAAATTCCGAATACATTGGTTATACGCCCTTTAGGTATTATGCAGACTCAGATTCTTTGAATTCCTAAATTAGTCCTTTTTTAATCGACTTTATTTAGCTTGCCCTGTTTGTGGCAAATCTTGTAATTGAAAAAAGGACAATTTAGGAATTTAATGAATCTGAATCTGCATTATACTTAACGGGCATATAATCAATATATTCTTATAGTTTCGAAGATTTTCTTTGATCCTAGAATAGTATATTTACCTTAAAAGAGAAAAAAATCTTTTTCTTTGCGTGTTATTTCTATGGGAAAAATTAAAAAAAAAAAAATTATGCGTCACCTCTTAGAATTATCGTAGCGGGAGGAAATTAATGAAGGATCGTTACTATATTAAATATTAAAATTTGAGACAGTTTCCGGTCGCATTGCAAGATTTTTTTTTTTTTGCTTGGTCTAACGAATATGTACCACATATGTACACAATGTCCAGCAACATTTTATTTTATCCATTTTCAAAAAGTTAAAGAAATATCGAATTCCACTGTGTATTTCTATTCAATTCAATTAGCCAAATTGCATTTTGGCAATTAAGCTTCAGTTTAAGTGTTTCCATCTTAAATTTACCTATTTTTTATGATTATTAAATACATACCATAGTATATAAGTATGTACTACCAAAATAATATACATATTGTAAATTAACACTAAATATTAATTCAAATAGTAGTGATTTTTTATTATTTTTGACCACTCATTTCATTTTTATTAGTTGATAATTAAAAAACACGCTACGTTAATTAAATTTTTAATATTTATTTATTAAAATTTTATCCGAATAAAACGTTATCAATTTAAAATCTAGATATGTATGTATGTAAATTAACACATATTCAATATTTTGAAATACCACATATTTCCAATACATACTAATGAATGGAACTTTTTAATTGTAATTAATTAAAAGCCTTTTTCAGTTATAAAACATTAATATTAGAAAATATTTGAATTAGTACATATTTAGTTTTATAAAATTCTTGGAATGCAAATAAAGTGCCAAATCTAACAAAAAAAATTATGATTCTTTAAATTTCACTACAGGATTAGTACGCTATCTTTTAAGACCGCATTATTGCTGCTCTTAACTGGTTTTTTCCGGGTGAAGGGACGTCATTGAACCTGAGCGCCATCTGTAACTAGATTTTAATCTTTGTTTTTGTAACTGACGCGACTGTATTTTTAAAGCTCAGGGAAAGCGCCTGCACTCAGCGTATAATGAATAGTATTCTCTCTCCGCTGCTCTGGATTACGGTTGCATACGACCTTCTGGAAGAACTGCAGAAATTAAGCTGCTTAGGGGACGTTTTCTAGATACCCTTTTTAATCTGACTCAAGATTACCTGAACTTGGCAGCTATGTGAACGTCCAACTGCGTTTCATAGTCAAAAACCCCAGCGAGACTGAACTAGTCTTGTTTACTAGGAAGTACAAAGTTCCCGATGTGGCTATTTCCTCAATCGGCGGTGTCCGTCTACAGCTCTCCGAAAGCGTCAAATTACTTAGGTCTGATCCCGGATAGGAAGCTGTCGTGTAAGCCTTAAATAAAGGACAAGAAAGGCGTCGGTTGTCTGGTATCTGGACCAAAGTAATCTATCTTGTTTTACGGAGCCCCTGTTTGGTGGAACTCGCTATAGAAGGTTACACTTGCTAAACAACTGCAGCGCGTACAGCGGATTATTCTACCCGGAATTAGTGACGCATTAAGCGCCGCCTATAACTACACTGGCGCTTACCGTCATGTTGAAGATTACACATGTAAATATTGCGAACAGAATTGTCGCAAAACGAGCTATCATTAGGCTCATGGGAACCGGTTGGTTAACTGGCTCTAAAGCTGGACACTCTGAAATTCTGGAAGACTTCGATTTTGTTCCTGAACTAAAAGACGAGTGTGTCTCCGAAATAACTCGCAGTTGCTCCTTCTCTACCGACCTTCCCTCAAGGGAAGAATGGGTGGGGTGAGACTAATGGCAGAAGGTAGTAGTAGACTTTTTCGCGGACGGTTCAAAACTGGGAGGCAGGATTGGTGGAGGTGTTTTAGTGGAAGCTCGCCATCAAAACTATATTCAGGCTTCCATCAAAACCATGTTCAGGCTTCTGGACTTCTGCTGTGTCTTTGAGGTGGAAATAGCTGCCATAAAAACAACGGTAGACCCACTGCCGAAAAATGTGATGTCTCTGTTCTGCTGAGGTTGGACCACATGTAAGCTAAAACTAAGACATGCGAAATTTTAAGATCCTTCTGGCCTGGGTTGGACCGGGGAAGATCAAAGGGGCGCCTTATGCATGGAAATACCCACATTTCGATTTGGTGGAGATTCTGAAAGGCCCTTGAGCATCAGCGGTCAAGAGGATGATGATATGTAATCATCTCAACACTTGCTATTGGACTGCCTAGTTTTCGTGAGGCTAAACAGGAAAAATTTTAGCTCGCTCTTCCTGGTTTACCACAGCCGCATTTGTCGCTTCGTCGCCCGATTATGAAACTATTTTTTATAGAATATCAAGCCGCATGCTTGCGTGTTATCATCCCAAGATATAGGAATTCGTGTTTTCTGCTTCTATCTTCTTCCATCTCTCATTCCTCCTCGTAATCCGATGTCACTCAATAGTCTTTCGCGTGGCAATTGTCTAAAGATTGGCTTTGTATGCGTTGTAACAATGTTGTCAGTGTGGATGATAATATCTGACCAACTCTTCCGTAGCGGCAAGAAGAGATTTAGAAATGGATTCCCACTGCTCATATATATCCGGCGATGGGAAGATTTTTTTAAGAAGGGTTAAGTAGTGGTAGCTGTCATTCTTCGTACAAAATCATACAATTTTCACCAATAGTCAGTTTCATACTTTTTCGGCACGCACGAAAATGATCCATTCAGACGTTCAATAAGTTGTTAATCCAGAGCATGTAAACATGGCGTTACACAGTCCACTTGATTCACAATCAATTATGCACCCGTATTGTGAACAGAGAACGTTAAATACATATGTCTAGGTTCAGACAGAGAAAGTTTGTTGCGGCAACTCGTTACTTGTGGGAGAGGAAGTGACGAAGAAAGGGGGAGGGCAACACGCTTTGGGCTGTTGTTCGTCTGAGTAAATCTAGTTGGCCGTTCGCAGCTGACAACAACAATTATGTACAAAAGAATTGCTCTGTGTGAACGCGAAGGGCAACACCAAAAGACAAATTGCCGAAAACGAGGAAAAAAAGTGTCTTTGTGTGAACCCAGTCAATGTACTTGTATTTACTCGTATCGTTTCATTTCTAATTGTGAATACATTATCGAAAGAAGAAGGGATCAAAAACATTTGTCCAATTTGTAAAAGCGTAATTTCGGAAGTTTATGAAATATTTTCTGCAAAATTATATATCCGCGCAATATGACCGTAACAGAAATTGGAAAATCAAAAAATACTAACAAAACTGCTGCCGAAGAAGAACAAAACGCCGCTCCCGACGAAAAAAATGATCAGGGAAATGAATCGATAGAAGCTGTTGCAAAAACACCGGCCACAGATGCCGACGCCATCAAAACAAATACTGAGTCGGGAGCAGCGAACAGTAATTTGTCAGCCACAACAAACACACAAAACGATTTGCAAATAAAAACAGGTGAGGTTTATCTCATAAAACGCGCTGATGGCAATGTACATCCTGCACAAATTATACAGTCGCGTCCTGGTGAAGTCGCAACCGCTAACTCTGCCAGCACTCCTGCAGAATATTATGTGCACTATGTCGGACTGAATCGGCGTTTGGATGAATGGGTATCGCGTGATCGCATAACCGATGCAACAGATGCAGATACAGCAAGTGGACCTGCGAATTCGACGGACGTTGCCGATGGCAATGGTGGTAAAACGATAAAGCAGTTAAGTAAGGAACAAATTGCCAATTTGGAAAATCCAATGCCAATGGAAAATAGCGATCGCAAACTGACACGCAACCAAAAGCGGCGACATGACGAAATTAATCATATTCAAAAAACGTATGCTGAAATGGATCCAACCACAGCGGCTTTGGAGAAAGAACATGAAGCAATTACAAAAGTCAAATACATTGATAAATTGCGCATCGGACGCTTTGAAATAGACACATGGTATTTTAGTCCTTATCCTGATGAATACGGTAAAGTGGGTACACTGTATGTGTGTGAGTATTGTCTGAAATACATGCGTTTCCAAAAAACATATCGCTATCACGCATCCGAATGTACACAACGGCAGCCACCCGGAAATGAAATTTATCGTAAGGGGACTATATCAATTTTTGAAATTGATGGCAAAGAACATAAGCTCTACTGTCAAATGCTATGCCTAATGGCAAAATTATTCTTGGATCATAAAACGCTATACTATGATGTAGAGCCATTTTACTTCTACGTACTTTGTGAAATAGACAAACGCGGAGCGCACATTGTCGGCTACTTTTCAAAAGAAAAGGAGTCGCCAGAAAACAATAACGTGGCTTGCATATTAATTCTGCCGCCATATCAGCGGAAAGGTTATGGGAAATTATTAATAGCTTTTAGCTATGAGTTGTCACGACGCGAAGGTGTTGTTGGGAGTCCAGAAAAACCTCTTTCCGATCTAGGACGTCTAAGCTACCGCAGTTATTGGGCTTATACATTGCTCGAGTTAATGAAAGAGTGTCGCACCACCACGCAAAGTATTAAAGAACTGAGCGAGTTGAGTGGAATAACCCAAGACGATATTATCTACACATTGCAATCAATGAAAATGGTCAAATACTGGAAAGGACAGCACGTTATTTGTGTGACGCCAAAAACAGTAATGGAACATTTGCAATTACCGCAATTCAAAAAACCCACATTGACAGTGGATCCAGCTTATTTACGTTGGGTGCCGCCAAAAAGAAATACAACAGGAAATGCTAAATTTAAGAAAGTTACTTAATTTTGTTGTAATACAAATTTAAGCCGTATAATAAAAATTAGATGTACACAAATATGAAAACTAATTCATGTTATTTCTTGAAAATTATTTTAAGTATGCTGGTCGGAGATTTATGAAAATAAAAATAAACGCAGTTTATGCAATTCCTAGTGGATTTCAAGCAAAGTCACTTTGAGTTATAATTGAATGGGTTAAGGAGGTTTCTGGAACACAACAACAACCACATGGAAAAAAAGATATGAACTAAAACGGTGAATCTGCCTTTAAAATTCACTCGCAAGTTAATAATTGCAGAACCTGCCTGATAGTCTAATTTTTATGTTATTTTACCTACTCTACTACCATTTTTTGACCCACTCTATACATAGTTCCAATTGGGTGCACACAGTGGGCCAAATTGAGTTGTAGGAAATTGCAATTGGCAACGATGGTTATTATGAGTATTGGCAACGCGTAGCAAAAACATCTGAGAGTGGCTTCTGTATTTTGTGCAAATTATCCTGTTTATAAGCTAAAAATTAATTAAAATCAAGTTAAGTCACTATGGGTCTCCTTTCGGACCCCTCATTGACTCCGCGGGGAAAATTTGGGCGTACCCTTGCCAAACACAGTGGCAAAATTTCTTTGTTTTTTTACGTAGCCGGCTTGGCTTGGTTCGTTTGCCTGTCACACCCCGAATTCAGCCATGGCACCTATCTATCGGAGAATGCACTATCTCCTGGTAATATAATTAAAAATACATTTTTCCATGATTAAATTTTTCTTTTTAGGACTGGTTGATCCTGAAATCGCTCAAGATTCTGTACGTTTTGCCCAATCTTTATATGAAGAGCTGCTACGTGAGCGCAGTGATCACAAATCCACAACTCCGCATGCTTGGATATTTGCAAAAATGCATCAAATTGGACTTGAAACACATATGCATAACTTTACGCTCCGTTATCCCTTTGGCAGCGGCAAAGAGTATCATGGCAAAAATGTTTATGGTATATTACGCGCTCCGCGCATCAGCTCCACAGAGGGTGTGGTTTTCTCGGCGCCATATCGTTCAGTGAACTCAGTTCATGCTGACATTACGGCAAGTGTACCTATGCTTCTGGCGTTTGCCGACTTTGCGCGCAGTAAGTTGAAGCTCTCTTTTTTAGTAGGTTCATTCACTTTTGCATTTTTTTTTTATTAGAGAAAAATTACTGGGCAAAGGATTTAGTATTTTTGGTAACTGAGCAAGAGCAACTGGGTATGCATGCTTGGTTAGAGGCTTACCATGAAGGTGGAATTAAGGATTCGCCAATTTTGCGATGCGGTAATTTACCCGCCCGAGCAGGGGCGCTACAAGCGGCTCTAAATTTGGAAGTGCAAGATTTTGATATAGGTAAAGATTAAAAAACAGGCTTTGAACTTCAGAGTTCATCATATGTACTTTTTTAAATCAGCTTTTATTAAATACCAACTTTTTAGATTACATTGACGTGAAAATTGAAGGCCTTAATGGTCAACTACCCAATCTGGACATGTTTAACCTGGTCCAGCGACTTACATCACGAAGCGGCCTTTCTTCGGGCTATAAACACACGCCAAGGAAGAAGCGCCGAATCTATCGTGGCACATTAGAGGATAATCTACGTCACATGCTAGAGATGCTAATGAGTCAAGCAACTGGCATTCCTAACGGCAATCATGGACTATTTCACCGTTACCGCATTGAATCACTGACACTTGAAGCTGTAAAACGTACCACAAACAGTAATGTTAACAATCGCTTTGGCACCGGACTTTCTCTCTTAAAGACCATAGAAGGCATCTCACGCAGTTTAAATAACCTGTTGGAACGTTTCCATCAAAGCTATTTTTTCTATATTTTGGTACAAAATGATCGTTTCGTTTCAATTGGTGACTTCATGCCCTGCCTTATTGCGTTAGCTAGTCCTATGTTCATTAAAGCTTTCCTTCTTTGGCTAACCATCACTACTGGCGATGAAACTTCGACTGAGGGAGAGGAATCGCTTATGCATGAAGAAAAAGTACCAGTTCAGTTGCCATACATTGCAGTATTGCTCTACATGGTAGTAGCACTGTTGTTGGGCTTTCTCTGCAATGCCCTGCCATTTAGTCAACATGTAAGAGATTATTTTACCGCCGTGGGTATTGGCACAGAGATCACTGTGAGCCTAATTTTGGGTGTACAAGTGCTTTTCGGAATACTAATGCCACTATTTTACACGTTACCAGATGCTGGTCTCCAATTGTTGCATATAGTTGCGCTAATTTTCATGGGTGTAGCGCTGATTGTCACTGGTCTGCTAAATTTCGCTTTAGGTTTTATGCTGGCTGTGCTCATCTCACCACTAACGATATTGTTGAACAGCGAGAGCACAAAAGGCTTGCAGCAGAATTTAACACGAACTTATACACTTTTACTCAATCCATTAGTGGTCATCTATTTAGTGGTGTTATGGCTGACTTTGTTCGAATTTCCGGAGTTAGCACTAAGTCAAGTAGCCATTCGAGCATTTAGAGCTGCAATGGATGCAGTCACATTCGGTCTTATGGACAGTATTGTAAGAGCGAATGTTAAAACTTATAAGTGGAAGCTTTGGTAAAATTGATTTCATCTGAATTTTATTTTCACAGATTTACGGGAATTGGCTGTACACGGCAATAGCAGCAGTTTATTTTCCGCTATGGATTTTGTACTGGACCTTGGCTCTAGGTCGGCAGCGAAACACAAGTATTCCACTCAGTAAGAAGACTGATTAAATTCTGAGCAGGAATGTAAAACTTTACTACATTCTACGATAAATACATTAATATTCTTAAAATGTTCTATAGTTATGTATATGGACGCATGCCTGTGCATATGTCTCTTTGTGATAAAAGGATTTTCGTATATTCTCTGAATAACAAATAAAAATTTCTGTTGATTTCTGGAAATACTATTTTTTAAGTTCCTCAAGTCTTAAGAACATTTGAGAACAATGCTTATCCCAGGGTTAAAAGAACATAAGTCAATGTTTCACCGCCTTGAATAGCTTGTATTTATTTGATTAAAAAAATTAGAGATACATATCATGCATTCCTGTTCTCGCACTTCTGCGGAGTAAATACATAGGTACAATATATTTTGCATGCATTCATATATGTAAGTTGTGTTACTTAATGGGTNTGTTCTCGCACTTCTGCGGAGTAAATACATAGGTACAATATATTTTGCATACATTCATATATGTAAGTTGTGTTACTTAATGGGTGTGCACCGGGATTTTACATAAACTACAATTTAGTTTTGTTTTTTTTTCAAAATGAATTTAGCTTCAAATATCGGTTTGTTAGTTTGCTTTTATTACTATATTGGAAAATTTATACCAATTACTTACAATAATTATGAATAGAAAAAGAATAATTTGTGAAACGTGCATAGCGTACTTATGTATATGATATTCAAAACTTCTTTGGGCTTAAATCTAGACACTTCTGCGTCTGCAGTTAATGCGATTCCAGCATCATTCAAAATACATACATACATAAATATAAAATCGGAATATGTACATACAATGTATGCATATTTCACAAACTGTTTGCAATCTTAGGTTTATATTAGTGTATAATATATAAAATAAAAAACTTTCAACTCGATAACATTCGTAGCGATAAAACAATAATCCAATATATATGTATATAGTTTGTGTATATGTGCAGTATTTAATCAACAATTATTGTTAAAGAATGTCTCATAGGGGTTTTTCTATATGCTCACGTCATTTTTGCTTTTCAAAATTTAGTGACCGCGGCATTAGAGAGAGATTCTTGAGGCATGCGTGGGCTTGTTGCACCATAAATTGTTGATCCTTGGTCTGACCACATGCAAGTCTCTCCCATTTCGGATCCAAGTATTGGTGACCACTTCGTTCGCGTGGCGGCAATAAAGACGGTGCATTTTGTCCTTGCTGTTGCTGTCGTTGTTGTGGACTATTTTCTTTTTTGGCCTCATCATTAGTATTTAGTAATAGATCAGCCTCACTGCATAGTGTATCCTTCATAATAATCGTTGTGGGAGAGAATGCAATAGACTCGGTCGAAGTAAGAAATTTGCTCGGAGTCTCGGTCTCAAAAGGCAACGATTTCTTTTCTTGCTTAATACCAACACTAGGCATAACATTTTCACCCCAGCTGGTGATAAGCGATTTTCGTGCCTTCTTTGTAGGTTGGGATGCTGAGCCGGCAGTGGTAGCTCTGGATGTATCGCTGGTCAAGTCTGCATCCGACGACATATTTTCTTTCTTAATAGCCATATTATTAGAATCATTCACCTGTTCTTCGTGTATGATTTCGGCCAAGTCTTCAACCAAGGAGGATGGACTTGGTGGAATGTATCGACGCTTTTTACCCAAAGCGGCGAGAGCATCCTTGAACGGTGTCGGCGTGCGTGGGCCCAAAATACCTGCAAAAATAAAAGAAACAAAGACAGCGTCAGTATTTAAATGATGATAAAAATTATCAGCAACCGCTTACTTTTGTGAGGCGTTTCGATTGAAGAGCTTTCTAATTCCTTTTTGACTTCTACTCCCTCTCGTCCAGAGGCTTTATGTACTGGTGTGCTGGCACACAAACTGATGTCCTCGAATGAGGGTAAACATGGCGAATTGAGGAATTGTGATGGTGAAAATGGTAATGGCTTTATAGGAGTCATTACAGGCGATTCAGGTAATTTTGTTTCCTGTTTTACCCAATTACCGCTTGACAAACCCACGTTGTCCATACCAACCGTTATTGTATTNGATGGTGAAAATGGTAATGGCTTTATAGGAGTCATTACAGGCGATTCAGGCAATTTTGTTTCCTGTTTTACCCAATTACCGCTTGACACACCCACGTTGTCCATACCAACAGTTAATGCATTTGTATTACATGCAGCCATATCCAAATATTGTTGCTGCTGCAATTGTGCATCGTATTGTGGACGAGCACGCTTCAAAATATTTGGTGGTGGGCGTGTAGGAGGTGGTTTAGTTACTTGTTGTGCAGAGCGTTGCATCGTAGCCCCGACAGATGTGCTAGGTTGCTCTTGAGCGTGTTCGTTTTGTTGTCGCTGCGCTTGAGGGCGCTGTAAAATTTGCGCAGACAAAGATAGCGCTGGAGCCGGTGCTTGTGCTGGCGCCGGCATTTGCGGTTGACCTGCACCATTAATACTCGCTTTGATAAGCGCTTTTAGATTAGAGCGCGAATCCTGCAAATCAGGACACTGACGTGCTAATACCCTCAATCGATGGGGATCATATTTTCGTCTCATAGTAGAGTTCCAGTGATTTTTTATGGCATTATCTGTGCGGCCAGGCAGAAGCTTTGCTATTTTCGCCCACTGATTACCCCATTCCATGTGGGCATTGAAAATTATTCTGTCCTCTTCTTCGGTCCAAGCCGTCTTTTTTATATTGGGATTGAGATGATTATGCCATCGCTCACGACATTGCTTGCCAATGCGGCCGTTTAAGTATCGTGATATTAGTGTCCATTTTTTTGGTCCAAATCGCCGCACAAGTTCAGTGACTTTCTCATCTTCCTCTCTTGTCCAAGGGCCTTTGATCAATTCAGGATTCAACACTTTAGCCCATCGCTGTTGAACCTGCTGCTCAGTGCGGTCTTTAAATTGCGGCGCTATCAGTTCCCACTGATCTCCATATTGCCCAACAAGCCCCTTAAGTAAATTATCTTCAGCTCTGGACCATCGCTTACCATAGCCATTGCCACCAGCCGTACGCGAGCTCAAGCTACTGGAATCATCATCGACACCGCCTCCATTGTCCGAGCACTCTGATTCACCCGAATCTCCACTTCCGCTTTCTAACCGCTCCGCAATAACATACGTATCGATATTGTCCATATCAATTTTTCGATTCATTCTGCTATTCTATATTAGTTTTCCCTACCACTTTTACAACGAGAGCAACTGTGATAGTTATGAATATTGTTAAAATACTGGTATTTGTGAACTTTTCCGCCGCAGTATTGACAGTTCGCAAAGGATGCTTTATGTGCTACGTTTTCGTAATGATAAATAATTTCGTCTAATGAAGTGGATTTAAATACTTGACCACAGCTCATACACTTCACCGCTTCCGTCTGATGTTTATTTAGTAAACGCGGATGAATCGCATCACCCTCGCAGCGATCTAGCTGCGTTGTGGCTATTGTTCCTTGATTAGTTGTTGTTGGTGCGAGTTTTGTAGTTTGTACGTTGCTCTCCCTTGTGAAATTATTGTGTTCTTTATCCAGATTAAAGTTTCCAAACTCGTCCATTAAAAACACAGAATTTCAATTTAAAAATGTATGTAAATTAATCCAGGTTTTGATGATTAACTACTTTTTCCTTTATTTTTCCACAGTTGACATTTCAAACTCAGCGTCTAAAAAGTTGATTGCGAGGCAGCGAATAGCGCAACTACTAAACGTGAACAGCGACGCCGACAGAGACGCGTTGACAGCAGCTGTCACAAGCAGCGATCCGCCGATATGCCTGTAGAGTCCCACAGACGGACATACACACCCTCTGGTAGCAGCTCCTATAGCATGCGTTAATTACAGACAGTAAATGAGCAAACTGACGTGCGCTTGAGCTTCTTTAAACTGGCTAACCTTGAGCGGAGAGCTACAAAGCTTTTAGTTACACACTTTTCTAATTTGAAACATTCAATTTGATTCGTAATATTTACAATTTTAATTCGCACTAAACGTTTCGTTCTCGTTTAACGACGGTTTCTTCTACAAACACAATAGCCATTTTGAAATGAGATAGCAGAGTTGCATTTGTTTGGCTCCGAATAGAATTCTTACGGCGCCAAATAAAATTCTAAAGGCCTGGTAAAATTTCGATAAAATCATTTTTTAATAATCACCTCAAAGGATGTAAATCTATAATGGACACCGCACTAGGATCAAAGCTGTCAAATTATTTTTCCACATATGCTTGATAATTATTATGGCGATGTCGGGGCTACGCGACGACTGTGGTTGTGGCCAGATAAGCGCTATTCCTATTTGCTGCCGTGTTAATAAATTCATGTCACCATCGACAAAGCGTTTAAAGCGAAGGTACACAACATGTGTTCGCCGGCAAATGCGTCACGCCGTCAATGTCAAATAAAATTGAACACATGTGTTTGTATGACAGCTGTTACAGACGACGCCGCTACGAATATGTTAACGCAGTTGCCGTCGAAAGTAAACCAACTCGCAACTTTTCTGTTGCGTTCATGCGTTGACATTTGAAATTACATTTGGGGATATGCTTATCAACGAGCGGCACAATGCAAGGTATGTAACAGCAAATTTTTTAACGTCGTCAACGCACCAACGGATCAACGCAACGCCGCAGAAAATAAAATTATGTACCTTCTGCTGTAGATAGCTGTAGCTGAGGCCCGTAGCTCGTCGTTTTCAATGTGTTCCGCACTTGTTTTATCAACGTCAGAAAAATAATAACACACAATACAACCCTGTACAAAATTGCAGCCAAGTTCAGTTACATATTTGGCGCTTTAATTTGACATTTACAATAGCCAAAGCTGTGGAGAAATTTCGTTCAACCATCATAGTTTGAAAACAGTTGTGTTATTTTGGAAGCAAAATAAACGGCGTCCATTACGCGCGTTCTATTAACATTAATAACGTGGTTTTAATTACAAATCGATAAAATGTCTAATGTCTCCACGAAAAAGGTCGTCATTCAAATTGAATCAGCAGCCGAACAACAGGTTTGAAGCTTGAAAATACTTAATAACATAAATGAAGCCACGCTAATTTGGCTCAAAAGCCTACTAACACATCGTTAAATTTACTTTTGTTTTGTCCTTATTAACAGCCATTTCACATTCATTTCATATACTTAATATACTAAGTTTTGGTTTTTTTAATTTTTATGTTCGTTTCATGCTTTGTTATTGGGACATTTTCATCGCATATGCCTCACTTGCTCGTTTTAATGTTGCTTAGGAGAATTTGAAGAATCAGCGCAAGACGTTTAAGGTGCTGCAGCCGGGCGGGATTGCCATTGACAAAGAAAACCTGGCTGGGCGACCACAACTTGACAAACTGAGCCGCCTCAAAGCGTAAGTTGCGCGTTTCTTCTATTGATACCTATATTAACATACATGCATGCATTATATGTTTATAGTAAATATGTTTTGATAAATTAACTGCTTATATTAAATAATTAAAATTTATTTTATTTGCAGTGCTACTGAGGCCACTTTGGCTTCCACTGATTTTGCAAAGCGCAAGAAGGTAGACACGCGTGTGTCTGAAACGCAAACAAGCCCTCAAAAACAGGGCCCCGGTGGTGAGAAGTCAACCATAACAGCTGAGGACCTTACCAGTGAAGCAAATCCAGGAGCACTATATTGGGAACATCTAGCGGAGAAACGTCGTGTAGCCCTAGAAGAAACACTTACAGAAAATCAACATTTGCACGAACGAATTGAGGGTCTTGAGGCTGAATTGGATACATCACGTCAAATGTTAGACGAGGCACGTAATTTAGTGGAAGTATTAACCGAAATGCTAAACGAAAATGAAGCAGAACGTGAGATTGAAAGCGATGGCGGAGTAACGGGCGGTGAAGCACATACGGAAACGGCTGGCAATACACTGGACGACGATGACAATAGTAATACATCCAAATCAAGCGCTGAACCACCAATAACTTCCGAAGACCGTAAGCGGTTGGAACATCCTCACACACCTTAGAAAGTACAAATAATTGGGGAAGGCTTATTTCCTAACAACTCGATGTTAGCACGATTGGAGTCGTTTCATATAATTCACACTTACATTTTTATTATTACATTACTTTATCCTTAAATACGCTAGTTTATTTAAACATTTCTTGTAATAATGTTAGTACCCGACAATTACGCTCAAGAGCGAAACAACGGGAGCGCTTCTTCCCGGAATCTGCGGGGCTTCAGTGCACTACGAAATAGCGAATAGCTCGTACATGTACTGCAACTGTTTTTTGATGTTATCCCGGTGTTAATTACGGCTTCGAAAATGGTTGCATTTTCTATCTTGCAAGTAGTACCTAGTAATAAATACAAACATAAATGAATGTAGTTTTCGAAGATTTGAAATAAATCAACTTTGCAAAATATATGAAGACAAATTGATGTTTTATTACTATCTGACTGTTGTAAAGCTCTTAAAGGAGAGGTAAGGGAAGGCACGTAATATACATGCAGTTATTTCTAGAGAGTAAAGCCACTCATATTTCAAATGGTTCTCTTATTTATTTCAAGACGAATGGATAAGGCTTGAGCCAAGAGCTTGTGTGAGCAAATCCAATTTTTGGCAAAAAATGTCATTTACGCGGTTGTGCATAACGACGGTTCACGGTTTTGTTCTTTAAACGAGGAAATATACCTAACTGAAAATCCTCTCAACTGGTAGAGCGTCAATCCAAAGAACTTTTAACTATTGTCAAGTTTCGCATGCAAATATTTGTCGCCTCCACCTGCAAATGTTCCGACGGAGCGGTTATTTAGTGATGCAAGATTGATTTACGACCCTTTAAGAATTAGGCTGGAATCTGAAAATATATTATATACTAAATAAAATAAACATTATTGAAAACCACAACATTTTCCATTTCGCATTAGCGAATGTCTAAAATTCTATATTCGCTACATCCCTAATGTGTATGTATGAGCTTATTTTTTCACTAGGTAACGAGAATTTTTAAACTTGCTAATTTTTTGTCTGCCACTGTTTAAGAAATTTTGTATTGTTTTTTTAATGCCTCTCTGTAGCTCGATCCAATCCCATTTGGCTTACGCTGGCAAATAGCGTTGCCAATAGCGCTTTACATTTCCGCGTTCAGTTTACCGCTATTTAAATGACATTTCCGTTCATTTCCTCTTTCGCTGTCAATCAATTAACATGGACAATAAAACACCATCCGATATACGTATCCTTTTCTAAAAATATATTAGTTTTTTTATTGTAATTGAAATGATGGGTTTTCTTAACATATCTTTGTCCTTACAGCGTCCCCATTTGATAAGATTTTCGAGCACTACCACACCTTCAATGCAGTGCAGTCCTCGCTGCTCGACATATTGCTACATACCAACAAATCTGTGGTGCTTAGTGCACCAACTGGCTCTGGCAAAACTGTGGCCTTTGAATTGGCAATTGTGCGTATGTTACTCGACCACCAACAGTCTGACACAATCAACTCCAGTCAGACAGTGTACACTACCGTAGCAACAAAGGCAATTTATGTAGCACCGATTAAGGCACTTTGTGCCGAACGATTTGACGATTGGAAGGCGCGTTTTGAGGTTGTCGGTGTAAAGTGTTTACTCATCACTGGTGATAGTGAACTGGATGAGCTAGCACGATTGCGCGATGCTCAAGTGATTATAACGACACCAGAAAAATGGGATTCATTGACACGTCACTGGCGTGACTGCCGGGACGCCATCAGTTCAGTGCGACTCTTTCTTATTGATGAAGTGCACTTGTTGAACGAAGATATACGCGGCCCTGTGCTAGAAGCGATAGTCTCACGTATGCATACCATTGCTCGTGATACAATGATCGAGCCTCTGCGGTACGTGCTCGCTTCAGCCACTATACCAAATGTGCAGGACATAACGCGTTGGATTGCTCGCGTCGGACCTGATCGAAATGGGGCAAATAATTTATCATCTATTCTTGAAAACGTCACACATTTCGTGTAAGATATTAAAAATGCTTGAATTATTTATTTTGCAAATGTTTTTTGTTTTTGTTTTTTAGTTTTTCAGACGCCGATCGTCCTGTACCGTTAGAAAAGTATGTGCTAGGTTTCAATTCATGTTTGCGAGGATTTAAATTTGATATGAGCCTCAATTACAAATTAATGGGCATTTTGAGGAAATATTCTGAGTGTAAAGCTACTTTGGTAAGTCTACCGATTCGATTCTACAGTATCGAAAACCCATTTTCACACATTGAGCTGCCATAAAAATGATATTATCTGTAACGTAAATTTTTTAAGATCAAAAAATATGTTTAGTTTAGTTAGTGAAAACATTACAAAAATATGACTGTTCTGACATCTTGTGAATGCCTTAATTTAATATGTATGCTGGATTATTTGTAGAGCTCTGTGCCAAGTAATTCACAAGACTACATTTAATTTCCCACCAGTTAATAGCTATTCATGGCTATCACTGAATCCATCGTAGTGCGATTTTTCGTGAAATCTAAGAAAATTCTTACACTGAATCCGAATAGCTACGAACGCAGCATACACTTTAGATTCACACGTTCGTAGCATTTCGTATTCATTGGATGTATTTTCGTAGATTTCACGAAAATCGGATTACGATGGATTCAGCGTTAGCCCAGTTTAGCTCTAACGACAAGCTAATTTTTTCTTACAGATTTTCTGTAATAGTCGAAAGTCTGCTGAAATGGCAGCAACAGCCTTAGAAACGAATATTACTACACATTTCGCACTTAGTGACCAACAGAAGGCAAATCTAACACAACTATCACAGAGGTACATATCTACAGTGTATTATAAAAATGTTCGACTTTATATAATTAAGCTATATTTTGGTATGCTTGGAGAGCAATTTACATATCGTTACTTTAATTTACACAAAGGGGAAGGACCTACAGTTTTACGCCGACTCCGGATGGCGATTGTATTTTTATGAGAAGCTGTTTTTCATGGCAGAAATACACTCGGAGGTTCGCCATTGCCTGTCGAGGGGCGACCGCTATTAAGAAAATACCTTTTTCTTTTTTTTTGCGATGTTGCTTTGACCAGGGCTTGAACCCAGGCCCTGCGGAGTGGTAGCACGCACTGCTAACCACTACACCACAGCGGCCACACAGGCCCTAACCAACTGCGTTTTTCACAGACTTTGATAGGATGCCGGCCAGCAAAAAATCCGAAAACCGATCCGAAATCGGAAAATTAAAAAGCGGCACACTCCTCTGCATGCTCAGCCACTGCCGACTAAGCATGCATGCTTTCAAATGTTTAGCTTGAGCAAATAAAATACAATTATTGCTTTCAAATGACATTATCTTTTTCGAACGTTTACCGGATACGAAAATTGATGATAACTGTAGGAGTTTTTTCTATTTGTTTTCGGATACGGAAAATTGAACTAAACTGCACTGTCGGCAAAATTTACGTTTCTTTGTTGGCTGGGATATATTAAAATACTCCTTCACTAAAAGTTGCAAAAGTGTTTGTACCAAAAACAACAGTTTTTGATTTTCTTTTTATAATGTTTTTTTTTTTTGTTTGTTTACTTCTTAATAAAATATAAAACTTACTGGTTTAGGGCCTTTGTTGATTAAGGTAACGATATGTAATTAAATAACAATTGTTTTTAAAACTCTAAACTCGTTTAGAAGCGAAAACTATTTACCANCGGTTTAGTTTCATAATAGTAATACAAATTTAACAAATGCATGTTTAAGAGTTCTCTTTTAGCTATAAATCCTTTATTATTTTATAATTGAGCCACTTTCCATTTGTTTTTATACACATATACATATGTAACTATAACAAATTGAGTATTTGTTCTTTTTTTAATTGTACGTATTATCAAAAGGTACATAGTGAACGCTTTCAGCGCATAAAGCGAAGAAGATGATGTACAATTATTACAAAATATAACGTAAAATAACAAAATAGCCATATAATAATATAGTACATATGTTGACATAAATGAAGAGATTTAAGGCTTTATTTACCTACATAGAGCAAAGAAGTTTAAGGGTTAAAGAGTATAGGTACATACATACATGCAAATTTACACTGCAAATATGTATGTATGCAGATATTTTATTTACACTTTTCTTTTTAAAATAAGTTACTTCCATATTTATAACTGGCGAAGAAGATGTTGTTGACGTTGTTTTTTGATATTATTGCTGTTGCTGCACAAGCCTTTTGTTTAAGTATTATGCACGATCTCAAGTCCCCCCCTACATTGTTTAGCCATGCATTTGTGTGTGTGTGCGGCGTACCTGCGTGTGACCGCGTATGTATGTACATA